TAAGGCCAGGCTGAGCTCAGCGTGTCTTTAAAGGCCAGCCACAGGGGACCACAGGGCTGAGAGAAAGACAAATATATAGAGCGGGCAAAGGTCTTTGGGGACTTGCTTCCACATTCCATTGCAGTACACAGCTCTGGGCAACCTGATACCCCCTGAGGAATGTAGCCTGGGTCTGGGTGGAAGTGGGTGGGTTTCATGAGGCCAGCAGCACCCTCTGCTGGCCATGCTCCAACAGAGCCGACTCTTTTCCACCTTGAAACCCTGCAAGCCATTCCTGAGACACAGATAACAGGAACCACGAAGTGTGGAACAAGAAAAAAAAATCAGCAGGACACACAATATATAAAATAACGCTCATGGACCAACATCCCCCGCAAATGGTAGCTTTGGTGGTTCCCAGAAGGAACCATTGCTTCTTCTCGGGTGCCAGTCTGACTCAACAGGGTAGGTAAGTGATATGGAGCCTTTCACTTCAAATCAATGTAGGGCAACGGGCCCCAAAGTTGTTCTCCTTTGCTGGCTTTTTGGCAGCCTAGGTAAAACCATTTTGGTGGTGCAAGTTCAATACCTAGTACCCAAAGCTCAAGAACAGAAAATCACCACCACCGGTGGTTCTGATTGGCTGTCGTGGGTGGCATCGATGCACGCACTGAGGACTGGAATGATTATAGAGAACTAAAGCCCTCTCATGCCTACAGGCAGAAGTGCTGACTCTGCAGGTGTGGGTCTTGGCACCTCCTGGCCAGTGCTTAGGCTGAAGGGTCTTGGGTTTTCTGGAGTGCTAGCCCAACCAGAGGCAATGTGAGAAGGAAGGAGCCTGCTAGTCAGGCGGCTGGTGAGCTGAGCCTCTGACCAGGGGCTGGTGCTCCACACACCAACAGCGCGATGTGGGGAGACAGAAAAGGGCTGATGGGTAGGTGGCATGTAACCAGCTGCTGCCTGCACCCAGCCTGCGCTCACCAGCTACCATAGCTCACAGTGCATAATCAGTATCAGCTGAACATGGGCTGGGGGAGCAGAGTCCTGGAGAGACTCCATGCAGCGATCATTGCATTGGAAGACCAGCAGGGGGAGAGACTGATGCCATGTGCTGCGGCTTTGCCCTGCCACCAGCCTTGCGCATCCACCCCATCACTGGCCACCAGCAAGACTGGTGACAGACTTTACCAGGCCCTGGGCAATGTGTGTGTGGGGGGAGGGGGGAGGGTAGTTTGGCTCTGGGCCCCAGAAGAGGCAAGGCCTCAGATGGAAGGGGTGAGGTAGGGGCTGCCAGCCATCAGTGCCACCCAGACTATGCCATGCCTCCCCCAGCTGCCCAGAGCTCCCAGGGGGCTGTGGCCACTGCTGATGCCACAATAGCAGCAGTGGTGGCCCGGAGTCCTGGGCCCTTTTAAATCTCTGGGCCCCAGGGCAACTGTCCCCTTTGCCCACTCCCCATCCCCCCAGTCAGCCACCCTGGCTACTGGTGGGGCAGGCAACTGGAGAGCAGGAGTTCGGCCAACAGCAGGACCCACCAGTACTGCTCAGTGGGAGGCAGACAAATTTGGGGTAATTTGCCCATTTTAAAGAAAATGTCAGGACGCCAGCAGGAGACTCTAAACATGGGACAATATGGCCGGTCACTGCACCATGAGGCGGGCACCACTGACTCACACTGTGTGAAAGTGTCTCTTCTGTACCAGTGAGCCCCAGCCCAGCCACACCAAGAGACTAGCTCATTAGGAAGCCCTGAGCTCAGTCATTAGTCTCAGCGGCTGAGACATGTTGTCTCTGCTAGTGCAGGGGGAGCCCACGCTCAACTCAGCTGTCTGTGACAGTGCTGAACAGGGGGTGTGACGCCTTCAGCACCAGTTGAGGAGAGCCACCAGTTCCAGTTCCTAGCCTAGCTAGGGGGTATGTAGGGGAGGGAAGAACAAAGCCTTCACTTGGCACCTGCCAGTCCCTTTCCGTGTTTTTCAACAGCTGTTCGAGATTTTTTGCCTTTGGTCCATGTTCAATTTTATATTCGCAGTCGTAAGATGCCTACTCCAGATTACTATGGGAGATACTGGTATAAGCTGTAGTGAGGTTTGAAATGGCTTCTGTACTTTCTCATGGAGGGCAGGTTGAGGGGGTGAGGAAAAGGGGGCCAGCCCAACATACGGGCCCAGACAGAGATGCAGTGCAAGAGAGAGACTGGGAGGAAGAACGAAATTGGGAAAAGACGGCCAGCAGCATGAGCACACATGCCAGACTGCGTGGGAAGCGACGGCTGCCATTTGGGAGGTTATTAAGGACATTCATAGTGCAACATGCGCGTTTGGATTCCCATCTGAGCAGCATCAATAAACTTTTTGTTTCATTCGCTTTGGAAGAGGAGCCTTAATTAGGCATGAAGAAATTTATCACGCGACAGCCTCCTGGAGCAGGTTGGTCCCAGTGACATCTGGTGCGATGGGTTCCCGCATTGTTCCAAGCAGCAGCAAGAATTTATTAAGACCCACAGCTCCCCCCATTCCCCGCTCCTCTATATGACTGAGAAATCCAAACTGCATCTGCCTAATAGCTGCCATGCTTGCTTTTTGCGGAAGTCAAGACAAATGCAAAACCCAACCACTCCTGTAACATCCAACAAAAAGCAAATATGCTGTATTGCCTTAGCTAGGCTCAGATGTTGAGTTGGTGGAGGGGGGAGGGTATTGTGCCACTTAGCCCCACCATTTAGGAAAAGCAGGGGTGATGAGGGGGGTTTTTCAACTCTAGCCATCTCTGCCCATTGGAACTGGCCTCGCAGCAGCTATTCAGACCCCAGGTGAGAACTGCCTGGAGGTGGCACCCTACTGAGTAATGTTTCCCAGGAGTGGGTGTTAGGGCCAAACCTAATAAAGCCAGTGGGAGTCTTTCCAGATGCGTATGTGCACACAAATAATGTATGCCGGGAAGATCCTAAATATGATTTTTGCAGGTGATCATTGAATAAGGCAGAATCATTGTTTTAAGCCATCAAGTCTGAAAAGGATGGGGAGACTTGCCGTTAAGCAAACAGGAGGCAGAATTTCACCTCTGGTGTGATGCATTTTGTTTCAGCAGAGAATGCTTGGGGTCCATTCCAGAAGCAGCAGTGACACTGGGATACTCTGTCTCTAGTCGGCATGTGCTTTGAGTCAAACAGCAAGGCTGGGAGCTGTTACATGGGAACCAGGAAAACAAACCCCTTTTTAAAAAGCCCTCTGTTACAAAGTGCCCTTGAAGCTTTCCCTTCAGAGACCCCATCTCCACTGCTGGCAGATTGGACTCTGCCATTGCCAGAGACGTGTGGTAGCTTTTTATTTTCTAATCAGTTTAAAAATAAAAATCACACCATTTATTATGTTTTTTAAATGACAGTAACAGCAATCACTACCTGGCCTCAGGCCATTCGCCAAAGGTAAACAGCGGAGGTTATGAATCCAGTGGCTTCACCTTTAGCCACCTCTGCCTCCTAGCTGGCTACAAATGCCCCAGGGGATGTTCTGACCATTAATCAATTGTGTTAAGCCTCTCGTGCTTCTTTTTTTTAATCGCTTCCTGTCTCTCAAAATTACAATTAATTATACTAAACAAAGGTACAAGATAGGATGTATATGCAGAAAATCACGATGAATCTAAAAATCCGGGCTAAAAAGTGAAACAAGGGATATCATTTCCTTGGGCAAGGAAGAAACTTGTCCTACAGGTAGGTTAACCCACAATTGTCTGCTATGTGATTACCTGCATCTTAGGCTATTTCTATACTACAGCCTGGATCAACACACAGAGACTGAGCCACTGTTGGTCGATTTAGTGGGTCTAGTAAAGACCTGCCAAATCAACAGCAGAGCGCTCTCTGGTCATCCTGTTACTCCACCTTGGATGAGAAGAGTAAGAGACATCGACAGAGAGTTTCTCCCACTGACGCCCTGTGGTGTAGACTTAGTGGTAGCTTGATTTAAGGAAAGTCTATTCCAGCTACATTATTCACATAGATGGAATTGCATAGCTTAAGTTGATTTTCTGTTGTAGTGCAGATGTAGCCTTAATGTGAATCAGGTCTAACTAATTACTAGAACTAGATGGTTTTGCAGGTATGGCAATATTTTGTTCCTAAACATGACATACAGTTCTACCTGTCAAAAGTTATAGATGTTGGCACTCATATTTCATAGAATCATAGAATTCTAAGGCTGGAAGAGACCTCAGGAGGTCATTGAGTCCAGGCCCCTGTCCAAAGCAGGACAATCCCAACTAAATCAACCCAATCCTCACTAAATCAACTAAATCTTTGACAAGCCGAGACTTAAAAACCTCTAGGGATGGAGATTCCACCACCTTCCTAGGTAACCCATTCCGGTGCTTCTCCTCCTTTCTGGTGAAATAGTTTTTCCTAATATCCAATCCAGACCTCCCCCACTGTAGCTTGAGACCATTGCTCCTTGTTCTGCCATCCGTCACTACTGAGAACAGCCTCTCTCCATCCTCTTTGGAACCTCCCTTCAGGAAGTTGAAGGCTACTATCAAATCCCCCCTCACTCTTCGCTTCTGAAGACTAAATAAGCCCAAATCCCTCAGCCTCTCCTCATAGGTCATGTGCTCCAGCCCCCTAATCATTTTGATCGCCCTCCACTGGACCCTCTCCAATGCGTCCACATTCTTTCTGTAATGCGGAGCCCAGAATTGGACACGATACTCCAGATGTGGCCTCACCAGTGCCAAATAAAGGGCAATAATAACTTCTCTAGATCTTCTGGCAATCCTCCTCCTAATGCACCCTAATATGCCATTCTTGGCTACAAGGGCACACTGTTGACTCATATCCAGCTTCTCATCCACTCTAATCCCTAGGTCCTTTTCTGCTGAACTGCTACTTAGCCAGTTGGTCCCCAGCCTGTAACAATGCTTGGGATTCTTCTGTCCCAAGTGCAGGACTCTACACTTGTCCTAGTTGAACCTCATCAGATTTCTTTTCGCCCAATCCTCTAATTTGTCTAAGTCACTCTGGACCCTATCCCTGCCTCCAACGTATCTACCTCTACCCCTATCTTAGTGTCATCCACAAATTTTCTGGGGGTGCAATCCATCCAGGTCATTAATAAAGATGATATCAAAGGGATAGCATGTAGTTTAACCCCACAATGTAGGCATCATGTCAATTAAAAAAAAAATGAATACAAAAGGAACTTTTCATGGTTATAAACAAAATTCTGTAAAGCCATTTCTTGCAGGTTTTGTTTAAGTTAAACCTTTTGCACTCTTTTCTAATCCAAACCCAACTGCATTCTGCTGACAAATGAGATTAGGAAATCAAACTGAAATAGAAACTGGCAGTGAAATTGACTAACCCGATCAATCTAGTTTCCCTGGCAAAGCGAAGACCAAATTTGTTTTTTAGGAACAACTTCACTCTTATTGTAAATAAGAATAGCAATGCTGGGAAAGGGACTGATGTATTTAAACTATGTGTAAAATTCACCCCTATGTGGAGGGCCAGCTTGACATCTTTGTACTAGGGTTGTCATAGTTTAGATGAATACCGATTAGCCGATAAGCCTGATCTCATCAGTTAATCTTATCGATCACATGCATCCCCCACTGCTGCATCTCTCAGAGGCAGCAGCGCAGTGGGGGTCAGGGAAGGTTGCTCTGTGGGATGCTGGCACAGCCTCTGTCTGCAGGGGCTGCTACTGCCCTGTACTGCTGCCTCTGTACCAGAGGCAGCAGCGTAGAGCAGCAGGCAGGCGCCAGTCTGTGGACCCCTGCCACCGCATGCCACTGCCTTTGATACAGAGGCAGCATTGGAGGATGACTAGGGGTTCCCTGGGAGTGCAGCCGGGAGTGCACTGGCTGCCGGCCCTGCCCGCGGGGAAGAGCCAACAGTCGTGCAACTGGTAATATTTGATGCGGTTACATGATTGTTCAATTAATCCCGTGGTGTCCAACATGCCAGCCACATGTGGCTATTTGGCTGGGTGAGTGTGGCTAGTCGGCTATAGTAGTAGCTACTATAGTGGCTACTGCTTCAGAACTGGTTGGACACCACGTAATTAATCTCCATCTAACATCCTTACTTAAGGGTCATTGTTGTCCTGTTTAAGTCTTCCAGAGAAGGACTATCAGAGTCTTAAACAGTGCACTGGCCTCATGATGGTTTTCTGCGCAGAGGTGAATGTTACCCGTATGATTTAATCTTGACAGGGTCCCTTAAATCCTCACTTTTGATTTTTCTGCTTAGCTGATACTTAGGCCCATTACTAATTTTGGAGTGGGGAGAAGAATGGGCTGTTTAACAGGTAGTGATTGGGAATTGGGAGTTAACAATGTGCTTATGGTTTTCAAGAGTTCTGGTAGATGCTTAGTCCCTTTGTCTCTGGCAAAGCATTAGCACTGACTGTGCTGATCGGCAACAGCCCACCTGCTACATTCCAGTGTTTTTGCTTTTTCTGTTAGTTCTCAAGGAGAGGAATAAAAAAACATAAACACAGCATCCTTCTGAGACTGTCAGCCCAGTCTGATCTTTGCTAGCCCCTCTGTGGTCTCCCAGAAGGCCCTGTGTCTCCACTGACAGCCTCATTACAATCAGCCTGCCTTTGAGAGCTCCCTCCGGTATCTCCTGGAGTCACAGTCACATCCTAGGCGAATCTCACACTGCAGCTCAAGGTCTCTGTCTGGAGTCCAGTGGCCTTTCCAAACAGGCTACTCTGACAGTGGCTGTTCTTCTCGCCAAACCACCTGGGATCGATCTGGACCGGTGACCACCTGGACGATGCTACGTGCCGGGAGGCAGTAAGGCAGCTCGGATGCAGGGAAGGGATTGCGGTGATCTGCGGGGTCCTGCTGCATTTCTAAGTTCTTGTCCAGTCACTCAGGCAACCTCTCAGCTGTTTAGCTCCAAAGAAAGATTCCCTCCCCACTCCCCCCTCAACCCCATTATTAGCACTAAGCCAAGAACACTATACACTGGGAAGCGCCAGCACCCGGGTTCTTGGCCACACAGACCCTAACTACCCACCTTGGACCAGTTACACACGTGGGCTAACATTTACCCGTCACCCTAAAGTACTCTGAAAAACCAAGGTGACCTTCAAACATTGTTGACGTCGTAGAACTAACTTCCTCCTGAGGCTCACCAGCCCAAGGCAAAGCCTCGAGCATGGATGGCAGCTTCAGCCTTTTCTGCAACTCGTCTCTCCTTCCCTTGGTAAACACCACACACTATAATACTCAGGTCAATATATATAGGCACCATGTATATATATTTGTGTCACGGTTCTGCACGTTAACAAAGAAAACCAACCCTACTAGCCACTGCTCATCCTTTTCTCCCGCTCCCTCGTTCTCCCGTGGTGTGTCGCCTGCAGGAACGTGAGCCACAGACGCCTATCTTACGTGGCCCCATCACACTCTCCAACAGTCAGTTTCAAGGCGCCTTGCTGGTGCAGCGTCTTTAGGGCTTTGAACTCCAAGGGCATGGTGTGAGGGCTTGCCTGGGAGGTATAGCCGTACTTCAGGCTGTCATAGTAGTGATATTTGACAGGGTTCTGGTTCTGATCGCGAGGAAAAGGCCAGAAGCCATAGAGATAAATCCGGTTGCAGAATCGGGTGGCCAACGTGTACATGAGCAGGCCAGTGGTGGGTCGTTTTATGTGCACTTTATTTGTGAGCCAGTACCTGGAAGAGGAGAGAAAATCAAATCCTGTTATTCATGCCATAGCAAGACTCACCATGCCCAGCCTGCATGTCACATACCCTCCCCTTCCCTGCCTCTGCCCATGCTGTATCAAAGACACACTCAGCAGCGAGAGATGGCTAATGGGTATATCAGATCTGCTGGCAAGAAATAACTACTGCTGGGGTTGCTTCATGACTGAGCATCTGCCTCTCTGACAACACACTTGTCACTGTGGTCTCTGAGGGTATGTCTACACTACAAAGTTAATTCGAACTAACGGACGTTAGTTCGAATTAACTTTGATAGGTGCTACACTAGCGCTCCCCTAGTTCGAACTTATTTTTGAACTAGCAGAGCGCTTAGTTCAAACTAGGTAAACCTCATTCTACGAGGACTAAGCCTAGTTCGAACTTACTAGTTCGAATTAAGGGGTGTGTAGCCCCTTAATTTGAACTAGTGGGAGGCTAGCCCTCCCCAGCTTTCCCTGGTGGCCACTCTGGCCAACACCAGGGAAACTCGTCTGCCCCCCTCCCGGCCCCGGACCCTTTAAAGGGGCACGGGCTGGCTACGGTGCCCGTGCCAGGTGCAAGCCTGCCAGCACCCAGCCAGCAGACC